CGCCCGGCCGACAAATAATTTACTGAGAGGTCCTCTGCGTCCGGCGTGTGATAGGCGCTAGTGGGGCACGCTTAGAACCATGCACCAACAAGGGTGGGAGAAAACAAAACGGTCGCCAGATGTTCTTGGTCATGCCATTGAATTTGGGTCTGTTCTCAAAAACTCTGGAACTCAAGGAGTTGCAGAGCACAGAAGATAAAATGATCATTTGGAGCAGAAACCCCTGATTCTCATCAGTGCTTACAACCCTGGGAAGACGGCCCCAAACATTCTTCCCCAGAGAGTTCTGGGGCTGGTGGGATCCTCATTTCCATGTCAAGCTGCGAAGAGAAGATTTCAGGGTAGGCTCCTGCAGGAAACTACTGTCCTCAACTGTTGCTCCATAGCATATTTGAAAGCAAGAAAGGGCTTTAACCCTGTGAGAGAGAAAAGAATTTCTTCAGAGTCTGCAGCGGGATTAATGCAAACGTGATTCCAAGGGTCATGTCTACAGGGGCAGGAGTATTAAAAATACAGTAACAAAGACTAGAAGGATACACATTAAAATGATAAATGCGATTGTCCCTAGTGTGACAGGCACAGCTGGAAAACCCAAAAGCCATTCTCCACCTCCTCAGCATTGAGAGCGCCCATGTTGGACTTCAGAAAGTCAAACAGCTGTTGGTTCGGATTTTTTTGCCCATATGAGTGGTCACATGATACACTTCTGACCAACCAGGTAAAGGGAAATCTACTGAGCGTTTTCTGAGTTTTTCTTTACTGTTAAAGACAGAGACATGAGAGAAGGGCTTTCTGGTCCTGCCCATCCCTCATCTTCTTGACTGGAACATAGTCACGATGTCTGGAGCTGTGGCAACTGTATTGCAACCATGAAAATACAATAAAATGTCAACATGCTGAGGGTGGAATGGAAAACGGGAAAACCTAGATTCTTAGTTTACAGCTTTTACAACACCACTAAGCATAGAACCAGCAACACCAGCAATATTACCAACACTTGACTCTGGACTTCTCTTCTTGCAAGGAAAATCATTCCCTATTTAATTAAGCCACTGGATCTAAGGTGCTTGCATCCAAAAATATGACTCACTGGGATCTTTATGTGGTGGCATAATGGGACATTTTAATTTTATTTGTTTTCAATGCATACAACCGTTTTCTAAAATGTTCTATACCTATACTTTTTCATTAAAACTATAGTAAACCTTATTATGTTTAAAAACTTATTGCCAAGAGAATACGTCATCCGTGATTTGGACAATTTTTACAGTGGGTGATTCCTGTGGCTCATTCTGAAATCACCAAACTTAACCTCGATGACATTCAGTTTCCTCATAATGAAAACAGACCAATGATACCTACCTCACTGGACTTTTGCAAGGCTTAACACTGAGATCCTGCTACGTCCTAGGCACTCTTCCAACCCCGTTGCATACCAGTTCATCTAATATTTAGTATAACCTTCCAAGGTAAGGATTACCATTATCCCCATTTTATCAGTGAGGAAACTAAGCTATTGAATTATTATTTACTCAGGAAATATTCACCAAGAACTTACTGTGTGCTAGACAGCATTTCAGGGGCATGGAAAACATCGTTGAAAAAAAATTAGACATTCTAGTAGGAAAATCAACTTTGCCCCATTTGCATATTCATTCTAATATTTCGATACTCCTGAAAATCTGCATCTATAAATACGCTATCCATAATACATAAAAATTTCTCTATATAAATATATATGTGAAGATATCTATATTTATTTAATTAATTTTTTTTTGAGATGGAGTTTCACTCTTTTTGCCCGGGCTGGAGTGCAATGGTGCAATCTCTGCTCCCTGCAACCTCCACCTCCTGGGTTCAAGCCATTCTCCTGCTTCAGCCTCATGAGCAGCTGGGATTACAGGCGCCTGCCACCACGCCTGGCTAATTTTGTATTTTTAGTAGAGATGGGGGGTTTTCACCATGTTGGCCAGGCTGGTCTCGAACTCCTGACCTCAGGTAATCTGCCCACCTTGGCCTCCCAAAGTGCTGGGATGACAGGCGTGAACCACCATGCCCAGCCGATATCTATATTTAAACTTACATCTTACATTTATGTGTATATATTATACATTATATGTACATAATAAATGTATATAAATTTACTTTATAAACATAATATATAAAATATGTATTATGTTTAATATGTTACATAATTTGTATACAAATGCATCTATGTAAATCTTCTGTTATAAATTATATATGTCTTATTCTTGAAATTTTATTTAAATCGATAGATGATAGAGGGATGATAGATAGATAGATGATAGATAGATGATAGATACATAGATGATAGATAGATGATAGATGATAGATAGATGGATGATAGATGATAGATAGATGACAGATGATAGATAGATAGATGATAGATCGATAGATAGATGATAGATAGATGATAGACAGATAGATAATGTGTGTGTGTCTGCTGATATATACATAAAAATCCCCAGTCTTCAACTCCACACTTCATCCATGAGCTAACTAGGGTGAGCACCCTCAGCTCCCATTCAGTACCCAACACGTGGCAGAGCTGAGTGTCACCAAGTGGCCGGCACCTCCCTTGACCAGCACCCACAGGGAGCATGCAGTCTCTCACCGTCTTGGAAGTGGATGGCATGGAGGACAGCAAGATGCTTGAAGTCTGGGACTGGGAGCTGGGCTTCATCTTCCCAGTGATCCACCTCTTGTATTCTTCTCGTACCTGGAGAAGGAGGCACATCCAGATGCAGGGAAATGGTCCAGGGACAGGGATGTTGGGTGGAGGGATGCTGGGGGTGGGGTGGGGAGAGGGGATGGGGAGGGCAGCAGCTACATACCTGGTGGTTAAGCAGACAGTGGATGAGGAAGATGAAGGCCCCCTGCAGGCTGTTGATGATGGTGAATAGGTAGGCCATGACACCTGCCACAGGTCCAATCTGAAAAATGCCCAGCACCCAGGAGCAGCCCAGGATGAAGAGCTGGGCAAAGGCCTTGAAGGTCAGTAACCTGGGGAGGAGATGTACAGCGTGTAAGGCTCTGGGAGGTGGCTATTGTCCTTGTAGGCCACGCTTCCAGGAATGGTCTGAGGTGGCCACTGTGCAATTTGCCACCTGGGTGGGGACAAACGTAGGGTGGGGTCTCCAAGCTTAGGTGTGGGAAATTCAAATCCTATAGACATTTAAAACACAATCAGGCTGGGTGCAGTGGCTCAAGCCTGTAATCCCAGCACTCTGGGAGGCCAAGGTGGGCGGGTCACCTGAGGACAGAAATTTGAGACCAGCCTGGCCAACGTGGTGAAACCCGTCTCTACTAAAAATACAAAAGTTAGCTGGGCGTGGTGGTGGGTGCCTGTAATCCCAGCACTTTGGGAGGCCGAGGCTGGTGGATCACCTGAGGACAGGAGTTCAAGACCACCCTGGCTCACATGGTAAAAACTAATCTCTACTAAAAATACAAAAATTAGCTGGGCATGGTGGCGGATGCCTGTAGTCCCAACTACTTGGGAGGCTGAGGCAGGAGAATCACTTGAACCCAGGAGGTGGAAGTGGCAGTGAGCCGAGATCATGCCATTGTACTCCAGCCTGGGTGACAAG